AAATCTCCATACCCTCAGCTTGTTTTCAGGTGTCCACGCTCAGACACACATTTGCCCTTTGCACCAAAATGCCCCAGGGATGGCAGACCTGCCTTGTAGGAGTAAATCCAGGCACACGTGTAAGTACAGAGACAAAGCTGGTTTATTTGCCGATCTCCAGTGTTCTGCACTACACTTCCACATCTAGTTTCCTCCAGCAGGATTAAAAACCATCAGATTACAATGTGGTGACCTTAACAGGATGGGTCAGTATCATGCACTGTGGAGAAGTATTACGCGTATAAGCGGAACATATTTAGGCAATTCACTGAACTGGACGATAGGTCAGGAATGTATTTAGGTTAAGTCGTGTGGAAATCAACTTTGCCATTTCCCACTCCTTCTCCTGCTCGTTTTCTTTCCCCTACATCAGATACCTGAAACAAACCAACCAACCAACCCAAAAAAACCTGCCCTTCCCTCTTAAGAAATTAACTTTTCTTAGATCATTTCTGATTACTTTTTTTTTTTGCAGCTAAGCTGAACCACAACGCTGAAGGAAAGAAGGAAAAAAAAGGAAAAGAACCTGTTAAAAAATGATGAAACTGGCTTTTTCCTTTCTCCAAACTGTGAAGATTAAAATAGTGATTGCTTCCATCAAACGCCTTAGATCACAGCTTTCACTAAACAGACTATTCAAGCCACATTTCCATTATTCTCATCATCAGTTATATAACAGTGACTGATTTTTAACATTATTCTTTGTATGCATTCCCCTTAGTGCCCTAAGGTAGGAAAGGTTCCCCCCCACCATTCCAAACCAGCAACAGATAAATAACGTTAGCTCAGTGGCTACGACAATGTCTTTTCTCAAAGGAGCCTTTTCTGTCTGGACAGCAATAGTACAAAAATTATGTTGTTGTGGCATGTGCCAGCCAATAAATTCTGCCACTGGGGATCTTCGTTTATTTACACTGGGTCATCTGGTTAACATTGTCTTTAGAAGACAAAGAGTTTGAATATTATAATAAGCTCTTACAACATGAAGGGCAACGGTAATGAATTGCAAAGGTAAAACATGTTACCAACTCAGAAACCCTTATAAAAGGAGGAGAATATATATCTGCTTCTCTGCTTCAGCCCGTATTTCACGTTAATGGTTCGGCTTCCTTGTGATTATGACATACTGCTTCTTGCATTTATCTTCCCTATCCTAAAACCTGCTTGTAAAAATACTATACGTACTGCAGATGTGCTCTTTCGGGGTCTTGCAAAAGAAAAAAAAAAAAAAAAGAAAAAAAAGACAGAGTTGACAGCTAATTGTGAGTTTCTTAATGCATTTAAAACCATCCTGTTTCACTGCATTCATCTTGCTAGAAACAGACATATAAATAATATGGGAGAGCAAATACTGCAATACGCCATTCACTCCAAAAATATTCTTTGTTTTTTAAAAAAAAAAAGCCTGGAATCAGAAAAAGGAGCAATCCAGCAAACTGAAAAGGACCAAGCACCCGTGGTGGATGAGCTGGCACTCTGGGTATGGCACTGCTCATTCCCCAAACCACGTCTCCATTTTCTTTTGCAATATTTACTCTGCCATGACCTGACAAAAGTAACTTAATGAACCCTCGGAAAATGTTCGGATACTACTTGAAATTGACATAAAACAAAACAAATACAAAATGTTGCTAAACAAAACGAAATGTTATGTTTTCCTTCTCTGTGCCTCAAAGTCAGCATTTCTTCTGTAAAGAGAAAACTGCTTGTGAAATTTTCAGAGCTACCTCAGTGCCTTTTCCAAAAACACTTCCATTACCCCCTCTCTTTTAAACAGTATCAGGTTTGGCTCTGCAGTCATTTGGCATATATAACCTAAACTCTTCGTGGCAAATAGGATTCAACAGAACAGAGCAGCTTCCTACACAGGATGAAACCAGGAGACCAGGGTATTCTCAGCTCTACCAAAAACATTTACATCACATAAGCAGGACAATATGGTTCTTTTTTGCCCCCCGTAGTTTTATAATTAAATATGAAAAATATTAATACAAATAAAATAAGAGATTAAATGGTAAAAATACTGATCTCCTTTGCAAGAAAATCACTAATAATACAAATATAGATGTTATTCTCAGAAAGGAACATTTTCTTACTTTCACCACATGTGGCCAGAAAGTTTTCTTGCATGATTAACCCTTGTGAGCTACCAAGTTGACTGCAAATGGGTATATGTTGAAGGATGCGAGTACAGACCGTTGGCGTGTTCTGTAGCAGGGATGCACACAGAGTGGGAAATTCCACCAATGCCAGAATCAATAAGAAGACTCACGTCATCGAATTCAACAGGATCAGAAATTCAGCTCTAACCTTTACAGTGCAGCTCAATGGAGTTCCAAGTTCTTTAAAATAAATCAAACCTCTAATCTTAAATACACTTTGAAATTTGAAGCATCTCCTGAGCTGTTGCTTCTGAACAAGAAAACTACTGTAGCAGTAACACGGGAAGACTGACAGAAAAGGAATGAGGAAAGAGAGAGAAGAAAAACAATAGTTTCCAGTCCCAGCTCCATCTCAGCTAGCTTATCTACTCGGAACACCTCTTCTGGGAGAAACTCTCACTGACATAACTGAAGCATGAGACAATACAATGAAAATGAGCTCAAGATCTGGAAAGCAGCTCCAATTGTAGTCTAAAAACCATAGTTAGTTATTATTAAAATGTATGAATGTGAGCTAAGAGGACGGGTGTGCAGCTGTCCATCTCCAGAGGCCACCTCTGAGTGGAGTCGGTGCTCAGCCTTGTGTGAAGGTAACACAAGCAGCTCCACGGTGACTTCTCAGAATATTTTTTCCTTTAAATTGGAAAAATAATTAGTAATTCTGATTTTAGAAGCTGAGAAGAAAGATTTAGGACATTTCCTCCAGAACGTATCTCCTTAACTGAATAACTTTCCAGACTCTCTAGTTAAAGTAACTGTTAACGACTTTGAGGCAGTCAGAAATGTTTTGCCAAGGGGAAATCAACAGTATATTAACATAGTTCTGTATTATTGCTGAATGCTAAAAGCCGCTTTTAAAGATCATAGGTTTACAAACTAAAGAAATTAGATACATTTGATCATTCTGAAAAGCATACTGACACCTTTAATGCCATTTTTCTTCTGTCTGTGTAGGAACAGTATTTCCTTTACATTACATATACATCAATGGGTAAGGTGAGCTTTCAGATTTTACCAATTTTGTACAAAATACTGTATTCCCCTCTGAAATAAACTCTTATAACAAATAATCTTTTTATAATATCATGCATATTATGTGCTCCAATCCCAGGGTTTTTTAGATAAACGTATATATACACACATATTTTTGGGGTACACTGGTGATACATTTGGATTAGTCATGATGGAAAACTTTTTTATGTTTTTCAGCAATGTAAATACTTCACCTTCTTGCCATGTCTTTCCATTTACTCCCAAACTGCAGTGCTCTCTACAGAAACGATACTGTCTAGCACATTATCTCCTCATCTGACTTATCACATAGGGGTGCAATTGTACCCACCTACCTTCCTGAATTGCCCTCACAAATCCTGTATGTCGAGTCCAGAAAAACAAGGAATTTGGGCAAAATTCTGTGCCACTGATTACCTGACATTTTTACCAGGAGCATCATCCAGCCATGCATTAGACTTTAAATCAGTGAAACATCCATTTACAGCAGTTAAGAGAAATATGATGCACTGCACTTGGCTAACAAGTGAAGAAATTGGAAACAGATTACCTAAAACAGCAAATCCAAGCCTAAAATGGCTTTTAGAGGAGGTCCCAGGTTCCTGGATATTCTGCCATCCAAAATGTTTCTCAAGTTTTTTAATTTAGAATTGTACCCTTAGTGATACCACAAGGCACAAGTGTCCATCCAATTCAGCGTATATTTTGGGCATGAGGGAGGGAGGTTTCATTAGCAGTTCATGTGAAAATCATTTTTAATTGATATTCAATTTGATTGCACTGGAGTTTAATACTGATGGCAAAACCTAAAGCACAGGTCTCATCCAAATTCCTTCAGAATCAATGTGATTCTTAACACTAACTTCAGTGAAGCCAGGATTTCTGCCTAAATGTTTTTTAAATAAAATGCATAGGTTATTTCTAGATCCTTTTGATTACCTCTAGGATTCTACCAGACTAAAATATGACAGTTTGCCTGCCTCCCAGGACAGTTTCTGTGAATCCCAAAAGCTTACACTTTGCATATAATAATTATATCCAATAAAAAAATAGCATGAAGTGACTTCCAAAATCCAAAGGTCAAAAATTCAGCTAACATATATTTGTCTTTATTATGTAGCAATGATATAATAAATAAGTTTATGAATTCATATGACCTGTACAAGAAGCCAAAAAGATATTGCACCCACTTGGGTACTGGCTATTTGGATTTAATATTTGTTAAACATAAGATCTAAAATTATATACAGTTGTGGAGTTAAGGCAAAACCAGATGATACCGTTAACAAAACAGAAGGTTTGAAAAATAGACATAATTACAAACAAGGGGATCTCATCTCCAGCTAATAAAGTGGTTGTGCCTAAGGAAGGAATCCCTTAGGTTTTTAATAAAGCAGTTATTATCAATCATGTTAATTAAAATAGAAGAACAAGTGTGAGATTTCCTGCAGGGCAAAGCTGTTTTGCAAAGCTGTGCCTGAATGATCACCTTTAACCCTGGTAAGAATATTTTTCTTAATGGTCATAATCTGTTTTTAGAAAACAACATGAGGAAAAGAGAAATACCTTACATATCCAACTAAAATACAACCATAACCTCTTAGCTTTATATAAGCTAGACTCGATTGTGACCGGTGACAGAGCATAAATATACGGGTGAACCATCCAACACAGTACACGCAGAGGAGAATTAAAGTCAACCACTTATCAATAGTAATTACCTTTCTCAAGACAATGGAATAGATCATGTCAGTTAAGTCCCAGTGACAAAAACATGTATGACCAATATATGAATATACAGTTCTTTGGCAGCAACACACTAACTCTTGATTGAAGTCTGAACTCAAACTCTCCTAAATTATAGACCTGGTTGCCAGTCTTTTCAGAATTAAAGAAAATCCACTTCTCCCATGAATCCAGTAAGTCCAGTAAATGAATAAATCTTGCAGGCAGCTTTAGACTGTAACATTAAGCATAGATATTTATTGTCTGCTTTAGTCTCAATCCAAATATATTGTAGTTAAACACACAAAATTCTGTGAAACTTCTGAGTAGTTCAGATGGGGCCAAAATCCATAAAGAGAATCCATATTCACCCATGAAAAACCAATAAAGAAACATCAATCCCATGATGACAAAATGATCTTCATGTAACAGAGGCAATGATGAGTCCACACCTGGATGAATGTCACAGGAAAATTGACTTTACAGGGGAAAGACCAGAAAGCCAGAAAACGTAGAATACTGCCATCCACCGACCAGATTACCTTTCTCCAATTTCAGGTAAACCTTATCCTCCTTGTCTAGATAAAGCAGGACTCCATTAGTGGCAGCTTCACGTGTGACGTCCTTGTCCCCGGCAAAAGCAGAAATGACTGGCTTTCCGTTCAGCATCAAATTCACCTACAAGAGAAAAAACACTGAAAAGCTCTAATTAACAGAAAAACATCAAGAACTATCACTGAATGTTAACTACAGTGTAAGAGGTCTGCTAAGGTCCCAATCTTCTCTGGTTTGTTGTTGTTTTAAACTACTGATTGCATTTATTTGGAGCGTACAGGCACATTTGTGTTCGGTGGGCTCGACCTGGAGCCGAGCGCCATCAGAGGGATGCTGCCCACTGCCTGCCACGCTCTGGGCTCAGCCGGTGTGAAAGGCAACACAACACTGCTTTCATCTGTTGCTTGGGCCCATTAATTGTTGTAACTCTCTGGGAATGAGGAACTGTGAGCTGTTACCTCAGGTTGTTTCACTTTGTCTACTTCACGAGTCATTTAGAAACACACCTTTTCATGCGACTTGGGCACCCGGATTCAATGCAGGCACCCAGTGAGGTGTCCAAGGTACCGCAGCAGGCGAGGAGCTTACACTTCATTGAGAGCAAAATACATCTCTCTACCATTACTGACAGCAACTTAGTTTTAAAGTCTAGAACAGGCCTTTACCTTTATGAACCACAGTACTGTGTTTTGGTACTGAATCCCTTTTTCTATAAAACACTTCTGAAAGTCAGCACAGGCTCTGCTCCGAAAGCAACATCACACAGACACTCTGTAAATAAAGATGGGCAGGGACCGGGGGAATGGACAGTTCTAGGCATTTTTCATGTCCCCAGTGGCAAACTATTAGCTTTCTTCTTCCTTTTCTTTTTAAACACCTACAATGCAGTCACAGAGGGCTGAATTATGAAATGCTTATTCATATCGACTATGCTGGCCTTGCATATGCTCCCATTAATTTTAATGGGAGTCACCATGGAATAAATTAGTGCTCAGCATAAGTCAGGGCAGCAGAATCTGGCCCTGATTTGGGATTCACCTATCTGGGAAATCCACTTAATCAGATGGCCCCAGGGAACCAATTTTAGTTTAATGATACTTAATGGCACTAACAGATGTTCCAGGGGCATAGTAATCTCACTTATGTTGGAAGCCTTCAGGTGATTTAGTAGTGTTTAAGTCTGCATGTGGCAGAGACTCGAGCTAGTTTGCTCCGCTGCAATGGCTTTCGGTCCTCCCCACTGGTTATCACACATGCAAAGAAAAGGGCATCAGGAGTTTACTCATTGCTTGGTTTTGGCTTATCTCATTCTTCCTGTACCATCTCTCTAGGTCAGATACCCCTGCAGATCATCTTACAGTTACTTTAATCACAGCAGAATACACATCACAGCTTTGCCTCAGATGGTCTCACGTTAACTATGCCAGAATAGAGCCAACCAAACCCATCCATCACTTCAGAAACTCTTGATCTGGGAAAGATTTCAGGTCATGTGGCAGGTTGTAACATTGCCTGTCACAAGCTCCGAACTCCCAGGTCTGAGTACCTGGTACATGAGACACCAAAGTCTGCACTGGGCTTCCAGAACCCACACTTTGGCATCTGTCTTGGCACTATGTCTTTTAAATACAGCGGCTGACATTCTAGGCCATTTCAACCTTCAGCTTATAAGAGAGTGAAAGGAACAAAGTTGGAGCATATTAAAGAGCTTATAAGCTCATTGTAGAGATTTTCATTAGGTCAGTATTTAATCTAAGACTTTTGTCATTGACCCGAATGGAACCACGATTGCCTGTTGCAAACTGAAGATGAATTTCACGAGGGATGTGAGTATGTCCTGCACCAACTTCCTCTGCCATCTCTACCCTTTACACTTTTCTCGGGAGCTTTACCAGCAACCCAACGCCAGAACTGACACAACGCAATGGCTGATCAGTCCTGCAGAAATCCATTTCATCTCAGCCTTGTATGCTGAAAACCCTATTCAGGAGCAAGACATATCAGGGGAAAAGCATCAAATACTGTCACGTATCTAGCAGTCTCATGGGTGGAAACAAGGGAAGCCACAGATATTATTCCAGACCTAGAAAGCCAGTATGCATGTCACAGAAATTGCATGACCTGGCATGAAGATTAAGGCATGCAGTTTAAGGAATTTACTGTTGGCTTCGCAAGAGGATGTTCAGGAACTTGGAGGCTTTTCCTCTAAGCTAGTGCATACCTGTATTTAATTGGGTAGTTTGGCTGCTATTACGCTACAGAAGAAAGTGCAGAATCACTCCTCTTTTTGATTTTAATATATATGACACGTCTTTTATGTATTAAATAATGAAAAAAAAAAAAGTGTTAACTGCTATAAAGGTTCCCCAGAAGACATCCCTGTAGAGGTATAACATTTCAGTGTAGTACAGAACAAGTAGACCACCTTAATTAATGTGGTCCACAGCAGACTGGTGTCACAAACAGATACCAGATACCACGAACTGTCAGCCAGGTCACCAAATGCTACAGAAATAATCAAATCGGGTATGTACCCCCAGAACTCCTGTGTTCAAAACAGTTTAACCTGTAGCAAAACATGACCCTTCAATAGTATTTATGCAATTAAGTGAAATTTAGAGCCCTGTTTTACTCTTAGATGATTCATTCTCTTTACTACCTTGTATCACCCCAGATACTCGGTTCTTACGGTACAGAAGTGAAGCTACGGCAATTTGTCTGAGGTGAGGATCCTCCCTTATTACAGCTGCTCCGTTCAAATGCATTCACTCTACTGCTAGGAACTCTACACCACAGGTTGCTTTAAACTACACTGGTTTTCCTTCAAAGTGTGTTAAATACTCTGGTGTTCAGTCAAGATCCTATTCCAATTAAACACTTCAAGTAAAAGATTTTATACGTGATCAACGTACCTGAATTGTTTGACTCTGATAGACTTTAATTACGTGAAAACTGAAGCTGTAAATTCCTTTTCTTGGTGCTACAAAGACAGACTCCAACGTGAAAAAATTGCCCACATTTACCAGGATCTACAAACGTAAAAATAAAGCATGGGAATTAGTACAGGTATTCAGTGTTAAATAAAAAATACAGACTATTAACTTTAGAAAACATTCACCCATACAATTTTTTTAATCCTACATCTACGCTGTTTTATTCATTGTCCTCTCAATTAAGTTGAAATATTACTCATAAAATGGATATTTAGTTATATTTATGGTAAAACTTTACTATAAATGAACTAAGCTGGAAAATATTTCTTACTTTACCACTATATCACACCTTCAAGACCTTTCTTCTATACATGTTTAAAAGAGATTAAGAAAAGGCATTTTTTGCTCACTGTTCCCAAAAATGACATCAAAAGACTAATTCAGGGAGTGGCATACTGCTTGTGGCTAAAAAGCAATTGTCAAGTCAACACTGTCTTGCTCAAAGTCTCAAGCTGTGAGGAAGGACGTAGGTGAATGATCTCATTCATTCACCAGTTTATACTCAGACCGAGACACTGAAATACCTGGTGCATCTGAGCAGAAACCGGCTGTGAGCCGGTGCTGCTTGCTTTGGTTTTGTAAGCACTAATAATCGTTTGGGTTTGGTTAAATAGGGAGAAGTAACAGAGGGGAACGTGTTAAGAGTGCATCGTCCACATGCCAAATATCTTCTTCGATTACTAAATTGTTCTTTCTTTCCAGTTACTTATATTTTATTTTTAATTGCTATTTTCCAGCTCCTGTATGCCAGATACAACCCTAGAAAGCCACTAGGAATGTCCATGAACTCAGGGTAATTTAGACTACAAGCATTAGGCTATGATGTGACGTATCTGGCTTCAGTTGTCACAACAATTTACTCTTCATCACGATACGGTACAGGGAGCACAATAACCCTCGGTCCCAAGCACTTTGGCCTGCCCTAGGACGGGAGCTGAGCATCTCCTGACGGGTGCCGGCATCTGCACACGTTAGTGCTGAGCTGAGAGGGGCTGTACCACGAACCTGTGACTTGCAGAAAAGTTAAACCATTTTTCCTTCAAATTCGTCCTTCTTTCCCCTCTCAGAGGCTGCACAAGCCGTCTACAATCTACGTAGGCTGCTTACACCTGAGCAAACCCTCTCTGGATGCTCGGCCCGGGCTGCTCCCAGGCGCTCGCCCAGCCCCGGCGCAG